TTCTGAGTTTCAACTACATAGTAGAGTTAGAAGTGGAGGGGAAGCAGGAAGGGCAGGACGAATGATGCCAAACTACAAGAAAGGAAACTATGTAGGCATGAAGAATTTCATGCATGGGGTTCAAGTGGGACAGAGCTGGCAGGGAAGTCAGTGAACGAGATAATGGAATATGTGACAACAATATGCAAAGAAGCTGAGGTGAGGTTTGTACTCAAGGGTAACAGGAATAACAATAAAGCCAGGATGAGCCCGAGGTTCACCCAAAGTTGCAGGGAGGCCAAAACCAAGTGTGCTAGAGAATGGGGTGTCGGGTAGCTGGTGTTGGTTGCCAGTATGACATTTTTCGGAGCATAGTTCTACGTGCTCAGTCAAATTTTGTTCTGAGTAGGGAAATTAAATCTAACAAAAATGATCCCAAATGGATGAACAATAGATTAAAACATTTCAAAGGTCAAAAGAGAGGCATATAAAGGGGGATATGAAGGGTAACACATTTTTTTTTTTTATTTTTCGTTCGATTTCTTTCATTTTTTTGTACGTAAAGAAGCACCTTTCAATAGTAATGTGACCAAGTTTCAATAAGATTGCTCAAAAAACAACTGAGAAAAAAATTATTTACTAATAATCATACATATTTCAAGGTACCGTCGAAGTGGGACTTGGAGAAGTTGTTTTGGCATTATCTACGCATAAAACAATGCTAAACTGTATTTCTAATGTTTAGCCGTTCTGTAATTTATCCTTTCTTCATTCTTAAAAAAAATAAATTTTGTATGTTTTTTGACTTTCAGCCAAATATCTGACTTTTGCCCTCACAAAAATCAAAAACAAATTATGATATCTCAAAAAGCGATCCATGGGCTTGTAAAACAATCTTTCCTTTATGTTCTATGTGAATTTCATTACATTCCTGCTATTATTAACGAAGTTACTTGCTCATATATGTGAATAACTTACTTCCGAGATAATCCGCGAAACAACCGGACCACCTTTTTTTTTTTTTTTTTCGAGAAAATAACATTTTTCTCAGTCTTATACTGCATTACGAGTGTATATCATAGTTAACCATGTTCGTTTTCTCTAATATAAGGACCCTGGAGGTGAGAGAAAGAGAATGGAAGCCCTCTCTGAGAATGGGAATCTATTATTCCCGATGGAGCGCTCTGGGAATATGCCATATATTATTCATTCTGGAGTATTTACCATACTTCTTTGTTATTTATATTGTTTATTATGTCATATTAGATCAATTGTGATAGATAAATAAGCCGTAGAAGCTATAATAGCGTTATATTGAGCCATATTCCCCGGCCACCCCCGAGACTGGAATTTTCCATGACGTCAGCAAAATGGTGTCGGGAGGTTCCTGGTTGGTTGGAACTCTACGTATAAGTCCCACCCACTGTATTATGATGCCAAATCGTCAATTATTATCTTAGAAAGAATAATACATTAAATACACGAAAAAAAAACGGAAAAAAAAAAAATAAATTGACGACAGGTGAGCACACCTGTCGCGGGTGGTGACGTCACCCTAGGTGTATTTAAATGACCATAATTCCTTGTAGGAATGTCGTAGAACAATGATTCTGGTACCATTGTGTTGCCAGAGAGTTAAGCTATTTTTCTATAAGATTAACTCAGTTTGTGAATTTTTTCGGAAAAAATTTTTCGTTCGCGCTGAGTGAGGGGAAGGGCAGCTAAGAAATCAATATATTCAATTAAAGAGAGAAATAACAAAAGGAATAAGAAAAGCAAAAAAGGATTATGAGGTTAAGGTCGCAAGTGATTCGACTAACCCAAAAGGGTTCTTTCAGGTATACAGAAGTAAGATTAGAGACAAGACAGGCCCAATTAACAGTAGATCAGGTCAGATCACTGACAGTGATAGGGATATGTGTTGAGAAATGGTTTACCAGCTAAGGTTAAAGATTAAATATAGGGGGTACTTAGCTAATAAGACAACTATCTCCCACACAGCCGCCCCTGCAGGCGAGGTTTTGAGAAGCTGGCTTATCCACTTCACAATGGGCTGTAATAAAGTATATTATGTTAATAATAATTTACCCCTAGGGGGTGTTATGTCAGCATATTTCATTCACTGATTGCTGACGAACTTATGTGTGTGGACTCAAAAGTCCGTACCTCACTGCCCACTATAGGATGATTACAAATTCCTTACAACACAAGAACTGCACAGTCCCTAATACTGCAAGAAATCTGTAACCCACCTTGCCCTTGTAGCATAAGCTATGGTGTTCTTCACACCGTCGACAGGTATCGGTGACTTGATAGAGGCTGAAGTGTCCTTGGATGTCCACGTCTTCCATAGTCTAGGAATACACACACTGGTGCACTATGCTCCACAAGATTTGGCTTTATTGTTCACAATCTTATCACTAAAGAAGCTGATCACACTTCCCGGTAAGTGTTTATTGTGTTTTGTGAGAGACTTTGTTCACACTAACACACGGATCAATGTTCTTTGTTGGTTATCCTGGCGTCAGTGTGACTCCCAGTAAGGTGAAAAGTAACCTGACCTCACAGCCTCCTATGCCACTACAGTGCCCCTCAATCATAAAGGAAAAGCTGACCTAGTACTTTTTGCTTCCTTGCCAAACTTCCTCCATGAAGCAAAGCAGAATGCTTGATTCTTGCTGTCTTGAGCATAGACAACAATGTACACTATCTTTACCATGGTAATAAAGTGGGAGCAGGATTTTCCTTAATTGTCCTGCTAAGGTAGGAGATGGACTGTCTCTTATTAAACTACACTTTGTAACACTGGACTCTTGCAAGGAGCAGCAGTCGCTTGACCACGTCACATACTTGTATTGTATCTGGGATCAATTACTTGTTGTAGCAGTAAACAAGATATTTGTCCCTTCCGAGAGGGCTGGGCCCCTCGGGGCTGAAAGAGGCTGAAGGGGGCTGATACCCCCTCCTGGAGAAAATTTCTCCACAATATGTATGAAATTTTCAATTCTTACTTCCTCTCAGTCTTTACTCAGGAAGATACTAGCGAAATTCCAGAAATAACAAATTATGTAGAACAGGACTATAATAAACTATGCATGACTGCAGTAACTAGTGACATGGTCCTCAGACAAATAGAGAAATTAAAGCCTAACAAATCCCCAGGCCCTGATGAACTGTTTGAAAGGGTGTTAGAGGAATGCAAAGAGGAACTTTGCAAACTATTCTTTTCAAACCATACCACAGGCAGGATTTGAACCCGCGGTCAGAGAGTCTCAAAACTCAAATATTTTCAACATCTCACTACAAACAGGCTGTTTGTACTTTAGCATGCTGTCGACATCGTGCTTGTAATAGCACGAAAGCCTCCAAAGACATTTTATGATTAAGTGGACATAAGGGAGTTTACCAGGGAAACATAACTTGATGAGCTGGCTTAGAGGGTAAGACGACCCTTCCAAATAAGGTAACCAAACTGATGGTCGCCACACAGGTTTTCTCCCCACTACTATTGACAACAGGCAGAAGGGAAACAGCAAATCTTATGTGATGTGACGTGATAAACTCGTGCAAAACACTCAGTATAAGAAATAATGCAAGATTGATCTTCCACCTACCAAATACAAAGCAGACATTAAACTCTTACAAGCAGGATCTCAAAATATATCCTTTCAATGGAAATTTCTTGATATGCATGAGGGAATTTTGACCCAAGGATGCATCGTACCTCATTACTTCCCAGGTGCTGTATGACCTCTTTCAGTTTAGTGCCCCTCCATCATGAACAAATGTAATAATAATAATAATAATAATAATAATAATAATAATAATAATAATAATAATAATGATAATAATAATAATAATAATAATAATAATAATAATAATAATAATAATAATAATAATTATAATAATAGTAATAATAAGAATAATGATAATAATACAAATAATTATTATTATAATAATAATAATAATAATAATAATAATAATAATAATAATAATAATAATAATAATAATAATAAATAAATAAATAATAAATAAATAAAAATAATAACAAAGAAAGATAAAATGCACATAAAGACACAAGGTCGCTCAATTCCAACTGAGTTGGTGTTCAATATTAAGTTTGGTAGTTAATTATTACTTAAGTTGTGTAGAGAAATGTGTCTGGCTAACATTATTTGAGTACATGAACCGTTTTTTGAATGTTGGAAATACTAGTCCTTGACTCTGAAAGATGGATACGGTTATTGCATACCAGAGGCTCTTTTGAATAGAAATGTGTGTACTCTTCTGGCAAGAAAACTATTAAATGAGTAATTTTAAATGTTTCTGTGTTTTGGGAAGGTTTGCCACGGCGAGATGTCGCCAGTTTGTTAAAAACAAAAATAATAAGCGCAAAGTGGAAACTATATTGTAAATAATAACATTATCTAATTATCTATGCTCATTGACTTTTTTATGACAACAATAAATAAAAAAAAACTACATGTTAAAGTTTGCATGAAAAGCAGAATTTCATTTCTGATTTCTGGTGGCCTGGTGGTTAACGCTCTCGCTTCACACGGTGAGGGCCTGGGTTCGATTCCCAGCCAGAGTAGAAACATTGGACGTGTTTCTTTCCACCTGTTGTCTATGTTCCCCATCAGTAAAATGGGTACCTGGGTGTTAGTCGACTGGTGTGGGTCGCATCCTGGGACACTGACCTAAGGAGGCCTGGTCACAGACCGGGCCGCGGGGGCGTTGACCCCCGGAACTCTCTCCAGATAAACATGAAATAACTTTAAAGGCTTCACTGCTGTAATATCTACTAAGTTTCAGAATATGAATGATTTTATTCCATCTTTTATTATTTGTTTAATATTTTTTCACACAAATATCACCTTAGTAATGAATACTTATTATGGATTTTTTTTTTAAATTTAGTGGATACTTAAGAAAAGTTAATGTGAATATTTACTAGGGACCCTTTATCTATAGACAAATTTTCCAGTTCTCTGGTTAGATTTAGAACTTTTTGTACTTACCAAGAGAAAACATGTTGAGTGATCTTATCCTCATAACAGGGATTCTCAAGATGTCAATAACAGTCTTCTTGGTCTTTGCTTCTTGTCTAGTTTCATTCACAAGTTCAACATTACTGCTGGTGACTGACAGAGTTCCATCAACAGGACGAGACTGTCAACAAGAATAGCAAATGAGCGATTAATTTAAATTTATTCCGTATGCTGTAACTATATAATAAAAAGTGTGATTGAAATGATACACAATTAACCCTCACTTAAGAGATTGAAACAAATGACAGAGTTTCAGTCTGACTTAGAACATTAATTAGTAAGTCTATTTGGTTTTGATTTCGTCGAGGAGGCAGCTAGTTTATTGTTAGCCATTATTCATACCGTGGAGGAAAGCGCAAGAACATACACATACACAAAAGGCTTAGAAACTAGTCTATATCTGGATTTAAATCAACAGTTAACTTACCTGTTGAAAGCATTTTGGGGAAATTTACTTTAAATATTAATAAGCTACCTTGACATATCACATAAGTTATAATATTATTTCTATATTCTTTCATAAGTGTAAAATAAAAAAAACATAGTTCAAGATAGCGACCATAGGCCTAACCATATACTTTACATTTGGTTTGCTCACCAACTTCTTGTCTGCCAAAAAGTACTTGCAAGCAAGCCTGAGGAGGATTGCTATGCACGTGGCACATGTGGGCAGCAGGTAAAAGAAAATAAGAAAAAATGAAAAAAACTTAGTTAAGCTTTCGGAACAATACTTCAACAATATGAAAATATTTTGGTGTAAATCTCATCTTCATGAGGTGTTTCCACAACGAATTATAGTTGCTACAACATTACTTGGGATGACGCCATAGTTAGCATATTCCTGCAGATGAAGTGAATTTGCGGCCTTTTTTTCTTACACACACATATACATACATATATATACATACATACTTACATGCATACATACATACATACATATATACATACACACACACATACATACATACATACATACATACATACATACATACATACATACATACATACATACATACATACATGCATACATACATACATTCACACACACACAGAATCGACTCGGAACAGGATCTTGCAGGAGAAAGCAAGACTAAGGGACATGCCAGCATACTGGAAGGTGTATCTCGACTGCAACAGAACACAAGAAGAAAGGCAGAAACTGAGAGAGATGGTACAAAGGCGAAAGGGGGAAAGAGAGAAGATGGAGATGGACAGAACTCAGACTCAGGAGGAAGATCAAATACAGCCTGCCTCACAACTACCTACAGAAGCTCCCCAACCAGGACAGCCCCAGTGCAACCAAACATTCTAATCCAAAACACACATGCCATATCCAATGCCCCCACCAACCTCATTACAAACTCCACCCCCACAGCAACCACCCACAGTTTTAGAAAAGAAGCTGAAGGTGTGGTATACAAATGCAGATGGAATAACAAATAAGTGTAAGGAGTGGCATGAAAGAATCAACGAGACATCCCCAGACATAATAGCACTCAGAGAAACAAAACCACCTGGATGATAACAGATGCAATCTTTCCACCTTGATATCATATCCTCAGGAAAGACAGAGGGAGGAGAAGGTGGAGTTGCACTGCTCATTAAAAACCGGTGGGGATTTGAGAAAATGGAAGGAATGGATGGCATGGGCGAAAGGGACTACTTAGTAGGAACAATCCAGTCTGAGGGCCATAAGGTGGTAATTGTAGTTATGTACAACCCACCACAGAACTGCAGGAGGCCAAGAGAAGAATACGATGAGAGGAACAGAGTAATGGTCGACACACAGACGAGGTGGCCAGAAGAGCTCACATGGGGGGAGGAAAGTTACTAGTTATGGGTGATTTAAATCACAAGGAGATTGACTGGGGAAACCTGGAGCCCCTTGGGGGTCCCGAAACATGGAGAGCCAAGATGAGGAATGTGGTACTGGAAAACCTCAAGCACCAACATGTTAGAGACACTACCAGAGAGAGAGGTGAGGATGATCCAGCAAGACTGGACCTTGTATTAACCTTGAGTAGTTCGGACATCGAGGATATCATGTATGAAAGGCCCCTAGGAGCTAGTGATCATGTGGTTATGTGTTTTGACTACATAGTTGAGCTACAAGTGGAGAGAGTAGCAGGAATAGAATGGGAAATACCAAACTACACAATGGAGGACTACACAGGCATAAGGATCTTCCTGCAAGATGTTCAGTGGGAGAGAGAACTGACAGGAAAACCAGTACAAGAAATGATGGACTATGTGACAACAAAATGCGAGGCAGAGGAGAGGTTTGTTCCCAAGGGAAACAGAAACAATGGGAAGACCAGAACGAGTCCTCGGCTCACCCAAAGGTTTAGGGAGGCAAAAACAAGGTGTACTAGAGAATGGAAAAGGTATATAAGACAAAGGATCCAGAAAAATGAAGAGATTATCCGAAGAGCCAGAAACGAATGTGCACAGAAAAGAAGGAAGGCTCAGCGACAATATGAAAATGACATATCATCGAAAGTCAAGTCTTACCCAAAGCTGTTGTATAGCCACACCAGGAGGAAAACAACAGTCAAGGACCAGGTAGTCAGACTGAGGAAGGATGATGGGGAAATCACAAAAAAAGACCAACAGGTATGTGAGAAGTTCAAAGCGAGATTTAAAGAAGTATTTACAGTGGAAACTGGTAGGACTCCAGGAAATCAAAACAGGGAGGTATACCAACAGGTGCTCGATGAGGTACACATAACCAAGGAGGAGGTGAAGAAGCTGCTATGTGAACTTGACACCTCAAAGGCGGTTGGACCAGACGACATCTCTCCGTGGATCCTTAGACAGGGAGCAGAGATGCTGTGTGTGCCACTAACAAAGATTTTCAACACATCCATTGAAACTGGGCAACTCCCTGAGGTATGGAAGATGGCAAATGTAGTCCCAGTTTTTAAAAAAGGAGACAGACATGAGGCATTAAATTACAGACCTGTGTCACTAACGTGTATAGTATGCAGTCATGGAGAAGATCATCAGGAGGAGAGTGATGGAGCACCTAGAAAGAAACAAGTGTAAAATCGACAACCAGCATGGTTTCTGGGAAGGAAAATCCTGTGTCACAAACCTAATGAGTTTTATGACAAGGTGACAGAAGTAAGGCAAGAGAGAGAGGGGTGGATAGACTGTATTTTCTTGGACTGCAAGAAGGCCTTCGACGCAGTGCCTCACAAAAGGTTACTGCAAAAGCAAGAGGATCAGGCACACATGACAGGAAAGGCACAGCAATGGATCAGAGAATACTTGACAAGGAGGCAACAGCGAGTCATGGTACATGACGAGGAGTTAGAGTGGGTGCCCGTGACACGTGGGTTTCCACAAATGTCAGTCCTAGAACCACTGATGTTACTGGTACATGTGAATGACATAACAGTAGGGATAGACTCAGAAGTCTCCTTGTTTGCAGATGATGTGAAGTTAATGACGAGAATAAAATCGGTCGAGGATCAGGCAGGACTAGAAAGAGACCTGGACAGGCTACAAGCTTGGTCCAGCAACTGCAAAGCCATGAAGACTATAGAAGGGCAAATACCACAAACCTCACTCAAGGAAAAAGATCTTTTGGTGAGTATAACACCGAGCACATCTCCTGAGACACACATCAATCAGATAACTGCTGTAGGTCACGGGCGTCTGGCAAACCTAAGGATAGCGTTCCGATACCTCAGTAAGGAATCGTTCAAGACTCTGTACAGCATTTACGTCAGGCCTGGAGTATGCAGCACCAGTTTTGAATTCACACCTGGTCAAGCACGTCAAGAAATTAGAGAAAGTGCAAAGGTTTGTAACAAGACTAGTCCCAGAGCTAAGGGGACTGTCCTATGAAGAAAGGTTAAGGGAAATCGGCCTGACGACACTGGAGGACAGGAGGATCAGGGGAGACATTATAATGACATATAAAGTACTGCACGGAATAGACAAGGTGGACAAAAACAGGATGTTCCAGAGATGGGACACAGAAACAAAAGGTCACAATTGGAAGTTGAAAACTCAGATGAATCAAAGGGATGTTAGGAAGTATTTCTTCAGCCATAGAGTTGTCAGGCAATGGAATAGCCTAGAAAGTGACTTTGTGGAGGCAGGATCCATACATAGTTTAAAGACGAGGTTTGATAAAGCTCATGAAGCAGGGAGAGAGAGGACCTAGTAGCTAATAGCGAGGATGCGGGGCCTCCAACCACAAATAGGTGACTACACACACACACACACACACACACACACACACATACACACACACACACACATATACACACACACACACACATACCACACACCACACACACACACACACAAACAACACACACACACACACACACACACACACACACACACACACACACACACACACACACACACACACACACATTGGAAAAGAGGTTGGCGAAGCAGACAAAGAATTGGGAGGCACAAGTCGAAACTGCAGTGGCCAGGATAAGGGTCCTAGAAGTTGAGATAAACAGGCTGAAGAGAGTTACAGGGACAGTGACCAGAAAAGACACAGCATATGAAGCTGAGAGGCCGAACAGGAAGGAAGGAGAAATGAATTATGCTATGGTCATATCAGCCTGCCAAAAAGGGTCATGGAGTGAAAGGGAAGAACAGCTGGGTGCAGATGGAGAGGGTGATAGGTCGAATGCTGAGGCACAACCATGCTATCAAAATCAAGGAAAAATCAAGGGAGAAAATGACCATATACAGGCAGGATCCAGATTCACAGAGGGTGAGGCAATGGGAGGAGGAAAGAGCAAAATCAGCGTTTATCCATGGGCTTCAGGAGAGAGAGGAAAGGACACACACTGAAAAGCGGCAGGAAGAAAGAAAGGAGATTGAGAAAATCATCTCGGAAATAGGTGAAGAAGAGATGGATGAGATTGTAAATTTTCAGAGAATAGGGGGGTACTCGAAGGGGAGCTGATTCTCAGGATGGAAACAGTGTGGAACAGGATCCTCCAAGAGAAACCACGGTTGAAATACTCGGAAGAGTACAAGAGGTTTTCCTAGACAGAGACAGAAGAAAAACAGAACTACAGCAGCTGAGGAAGAGGACAAAAAGGCGAAAGGAGCTAGGAAAGGAGACAAGGATGGAACCAGCAG